CTTCTTCGTCTAAGAATTAAAACTTTAAATTTATATCCATACGTGTATGACAATTCCACTAAAATCAAAATTATATTGAAGAAAGCTTGGTTACTACATCATGTCAGATGCCATATATTTCCATTTAAAAAATCTCCTAAATTTCCTTTCGATAACAAACCTTAAGAAACAATATTTTAATTTTCAGTTGACATCAAATCTATTCCATAATTTTCAGTCATAATATTATGCCTAAAACTTAAATTTTGTTCTAACTAATTACTAAGGGACAGAGAAAACAAAAGAAAACAGCTGATAAAAATGAAACAAGGTGAAACGAAACAAGAAACTTCATGAGAAAGTATTCACAACAGCAAAAACGTAAATCACGATATGTAAAAATTCAATGTAATTCAAAATAGTCTAACTAACTAATAAATACTAAACTATCAATCAGTCATATTCTAAGTAACATCGCAGAGGCACCACAAGTCACCCTCTTTTTTTTTTTTCTTCGTTCTGGTGTTTTCATAACTTAATATAATTATTTGACAACAAAATTAATATAAAAGAATTTTCATAGTGTTTAGTTGTTGTTTCGGCAATCACCTATTTAATATTAAGTCACAAAAACTACGGCAAGAATATATACAGTGTAGTAATGAGTGATCATAACCTCAAAAATTTGGCGATATGTTTTATCAAAAATTAAATTATTTAGAGAGAGTCAAAAAATTTATCGTAAATTTAATAAAAAACAAAGTTCTTTTAACTAATAAATTGTGCAAATAACCACATATATGTAATATATATGTACTAATTATAAAAAATAAGAGCGAATTTGTATGAAAGTGATAAAAAAAAAACTGTGTGATCAGAATATTCACAAGTTCCTATATAAAGCATAAGCGATCTAACTAATCCTGACCATCCGAGATGCGCGTACAATAGGTAAAATACTTTAGAATTCTTTTCATTTACTTTACAACAATCAAAAGTACACACGTGTGATCATCGATATTGCTAGAGTTAACTAATTATCGGATTAGTACAAGAGTTATTACTAGATCTTGGCTGTCGGAAAAGAATATCAAATAAAGATTTTATTTCACGTTTAATGTGCCTGCAGGATACTTAGAATTGGCAACTTAACTTATTCCATGAAAATGTAATTAATGAAAATTACGAAAACAATTTTTACAAGCGTTTTGGACAACTCTGGTCGTATATAATAATGGCTATAGAAAATGATCATGAAATCATTTGAAAGACTCGTTGCAAAGGAAAAGAGCCTTGAATTTCTTGACTTGGCCCCTTACAATGTTCAAGGCCAGGGATCGTATGACTGTTTGCTGCAAATAGTACCGTACTGGAGCTAACGACGATTAATATCGCGTACAACGCAGTAACGCGTAATGTTTACTTAGCACATACCGTACGCTTATTTAAGACGATCGGGTAAACAAGTATCTATATAACTCTTTGATATCTTCGCTTTTCGTTGGCCTCGACAATTTGAATTTTCTTTTCCTCTATGAATCATCGTTCATATTTTTTTGTACCAACCGCCGTGTTCATGAATAGGAAGCCCCAAGATAACCTTTCGATTCGGATTGGTTGGCTGCTTATCACTGGCAATCATGGGGAGAAGGTTCTGTTATGATTTGGGCGGCTATATCGTGGTATTCAGTTGGTGCTTTCGCTCATATCACTGGCCGAATTACTGCAAATGGCATCCTCATTGATGAAATTCTTACTTTAACATATTGCCGTCAAACACTGCGCCCATATACATGGGGAAAAGTGTTTACTCTCAGTTTAAGATATATCAGATTATCATCAAACATCTCGCCTGGCCAGTACAATCGTTAGAGCTCAATGTAATTGGTGAGCTTTAGAGCAGAGAGTGAGGAGCAAAATTAATATTTCCAACATCATTGAAATAATTGGCAGATGTTTTGGTACGACAACGTGCCGTTGCAAGCAATTCAGACACCCCATGAGTCTGTTCCGTAAAGAATTGCAACTGTGCTACAAGCAAGTGGTGGCGTAATATACTATCCCTAATAAATAAATATTGTGTTATTTTGTTTATCGCCTGGGTTTGATAATATACGAAATAATGCCAATTCAAGATGTACAGAAGACATGGATCTGATGCTAGTGTCCTGCAGGCAGTACGATTGGAAAATTATCCTTCTCAATGAGCTTTTGTTAAATCCGCTAGAAAATGAGCAAGTGTTCTTCTTATGTATACACAGACATATATATGGACGCATGTACTTAGATATATATATACCATTTATTATAAACTATATATGAAGTGTCAGCTCGTTACCTTTTGCTGTTAATTATTCAGTTGGTAGTGTTATCTCTCAGTACAAGGAGAAGAAAATGTAGATATTGCGTTCAGGAAGCAATGTTACCCCGTAGCTCTCTAATATAAAGTATTTGGATTTGCTGAACATATTCTCATGTACATGTCGATTTTCATATAACACCCGACGTAGTAAGCAGTAGACATAAAAGTAGCTGTAAAAATTGTTATGAAAAAAGTCATTTCTTAAAAGTCTTATATAAAAAGTAATAGTTATATAATGGCCCCAAATGTACTTATTTATGTGTGGTACTTACTTACTGCTCAGCCATTTTATCGTTTCTTAAAATTGTACTCCCATGCGTTTTTTCCCAAAGTAACGAGAATCGGTAAGAAAGAGTAGAGCAAAAGGTGAATGGATTATTCAAGCGGCGTTTTCAGTTTACGATGTATTCTGTGCAAAATACCCAACGGATATTCATCCCAATGCTTTCAACAATTTCGATGAAAATGAAAATTTTTACCACAAAATTACTTTATCACTAATGTACTATCTTCTTTCAATGCATTTCAATTTCAACGTAAGCGAGTTTATTGCAAAACAAAGTTCCATGAAAGCCGCCCGTAATCAAAAACATTGCTATTTTCTTTTCTTCTTCTCATTTTTTTTTTCCATTTTTAAAATACAAAATTCGAATTCAAAATTCATATTAAAATTTTTGGAAATTTATTTAAAAATGTTCTCGCCTTTGACTACATATGTATATGTATTGGTGAAACGTATTATACATAAATCCTAAATTTTAATAAATATTTACGAGCGACGCCTACTACTACTACTGCTGCTGCCGTTGCTGCTGCTGCTGCTGCTATGTTTAACATGAAAGTAAATATGTTTGTAGTTTTTGACATTTTCACATTTACAACCGAACCATACATTTTTGATGTCTACACATATACTTTTTTAATCGAATCAGTTATTTAAATAACGGTGGATATGATGATCATATTTTCAAACAATGGCAAAATAGTCTATATTTGCGTACTTCTTAGATCATAATAAGAGAGAAAATGAGATTGATTATAAAATTTAATTGCTCTTCATGCGAAATGATATAAATCCATGCAGGTAGTACTACATGTCAATTTCAATTACGTTTTGATGCTTGACTTAATTTCAATTGGTTATTTTTTTTCTTTTCAAAACATAAAATGCAACAAAAGGGGCGAATGTATTATTTATGATATTACTTCTGTTTTCTTTACCAATTGAATTTCTGATTGATAGATTGATAGATTCCTCCTTTAATAGTAAGATTTCTTCATACAGCCAAATGGTGAGTTTCTCTGATATGGTACTCAAGTTTTATCTCCTTTTGAGCTATTCTTCAAGAAATGTTTGGAAATGCTGCGACATGTTAATAACTAAAAGTAATACTTTTTTTTAATTCTTTTAGAATTTTAATAAAGATGCATATCTTTGTCCCCACCTAGTCTTTGCAGATTTTCGTCTTCTATATCTCTTTATTATAATTTCCTTGTCCTACCCCCCGTAACTTCGAAAATTGCTATTCGTTATATATTGATTCGATGGCAGTTTTTTTTTTTTTTTAAATAAATCAAAAGAAAATATTATCAAGGACTTTTGATGAAATCCATGTATTAGCTAAGAAAAGAGGAAGCTTTTTGCTCTATCTAGTTTAGTTACCAATATTTTATGAACAAGTCGTCGTCAAAGCATTTCGCTTCATCCATATGAAGAAGGGACGTTATAAGTAGAATTTGAATTTATTTAAAAAAAAGAAAAAAGTATTAATTCAAGTACTTGATACGTATCATGCACAACATACCACACATTATAACCAAAATATAAATACGAAATATGCGAAAATACTTAAAAAAAAAATCATAGCAAAAACCGCAAATAAACAGTTACTTGTTGTTACTTTATGAGTTTAGAACACATATGGAGAAAGAGTAAAAGATTGAGCGAAAGATAGGCAGGCGAAGATAGAGAGACACATGCTCAACATTCAAAATAAAAGGTCATGTCGGTTAAGGTTCTTATTGTTTGTTTGTTTTCTATGCAGAGCATTGTTTTATGCAGAGAACAGAGTGTGTAAAAAAAAAAAAAACTAAAATATTGCAACAGTTTTTCTAAATATTAATACAATTAATTAGTGTATCAATGGAATATATAAATATACAATTATAACGTTCGCGGTTTTTATTCTATTAATCTAAAAAAAATTTTGTTTTAATTTTCTAAGATTGTGCATTTATATACGAATGATGTGTTTTTTTTTTTTAATTAACGGTAAATTATCATTTGTATAACATATTGGTTTTGTTCGTTTCTAAAAAAAAAAAAAAAAAAAAAAAAAAAAAAAAAAAAAAAAAAAAAAAAGTGTGTGGATATGGTTGATTATTCACATTATGCTGTAGTTGTAAAGTTTGAAAATATTCACTTTCTCAAGGTTAATTAATATAAGGTTGAAATTAAAAGTGTTTTTGTCTTTTTTTTGGTTTTCGTTCTTTTTTATTCTTTTTTATATGCGGTTAAGATAAATTTTAAAACAAAGTCTTAATAATTAGAGATTAATAAGAGGAGGTATACGAGTGATAATAGTATAGTATTATGTGAGATAAAAACTTGTCCAATATATGTAATGAATATTAATTTAATTAATACTAATATTTTTAGGAATCTCCATATGAGTCATGGGAGGAGTGTCGCTTAAAAGATTGGGATGATAATCAACTGAAGGAATTGCTAGAAGAAGCTTATCATTATAAAAATCCACGTGATAAGGAGAACAAGAGCAAAGCATTTTTGGTAGATATTAAACAAAAAAAAAAAATAAAATAAAAATAATGATAATAATAATAATTGCGAAGATTTCATTCGTGCTTAGCTGGATTTTTTTTCTTCTTTATTGCCTTATCAGAAATTACTCGAGAAAGCCGAAAATGAAGAAACATCATATCCTTTTTGTGCAATAACACCACGCAATTTGTCCACATCAATTACGTCCAATAGTTATTATAACTATAATCAGCAAAACGCCCATCATCATCATTCACACAGCCATAATAGTCAACATCAGCCGCATAGATCCCATCATCACCATCATCATCACAAGCAGGGTGGCTCCTTGCAAGATCTCGTCAACGAAACACAACTGGACTGTGATCAAGCGTTTGGTAATAACAGTGTGAGTGGTAGTCAACGTACACGACGTCAAAATCACAATTCCCGACAAAAGAAATATTCCTCTTCCGTATCTTCACGTCAACGTGAAGGGGGTAGTTTGCCTAGTAACGTTAATGTTACCCACCAACTCGGTTTATGCGGCAATTTGACTACCAACGAGTTAAGTTTTATGCATGACGTAGCAGCAGCGGTAGCCACAACAACGCTTAAATCTAGTAAAAAAGAACAGCGACGCAACGCGAAGGCAGCTGCTGCTGCAGGCGGCGTAACACCTATGGAAGCCAATAAAGAAATGCCAACAGCAACTACTCCGCTGTTGTCTACCAATAATAATAGCAATATTTCTGAAGTGCTAACGTCTACGGGCGGCGATAATAATGCCACCGTTGCAAGTACTTCAGGTTCAATTTTGGCCATAACCAGTGCAGGCGATTGTGTTATCGAAATGGGCGAACCAATGATGGATATACAGCAACAACACCGAATTCTGCAATCCAAAGGACAAGATGTAGCTACACAGGTAAAATTGTAGTAATAAACAAATTGCTTCTCAGAAGTTATCTAAATCAAAAAAAAAGAAAAGAAGAAAATTTAGAAATGCAACCCTGATTGCATGTGAGAGAGTCAGGGTTGTATCTTCTAAAGAGATAAGATGAACAAATAATAATAATTGATTATTTACGACTTTTCAGATAAACTTATATAAAAACAATGCAAGTTTTAGATGTATTTTTTCTAATTTTTATTCTTTTATTTTTATCTAATATCTACGCGATTAAGACATTTGAAGTAGTTAAACCATTAATGGAATAATTTTGCATGGTTTGCCATGTAAGAGATAACTACTTCAATGGAATGGTTAAATTGTGAACATATGTTGAGTTTTAAATGCTCGGAACAATTCTGTTTTATAGGCTAAAAGTGCAAATCTGTGGAAAAAATTAATGAATTTCTTACTCCCTAAATTTAAAATATTAATTAACATTTCATTCTTCGAGAGGTGGTCGACATGTCTAAAATACAAAGATAACTACGATCTTTTTTCATATTTCAATTACTTTAACAATATAATTTTAACAGGTGTGTTGGTTAAATGAGATGGTTAATAATGCAACTGGATAAGGATTACACATTCGCCCTTTGGCGGATTATAGCTTTTTTATTTGTTTTCTTTATTTATTATTTAATTTATTTATTTTAATTTTTTACTTTTTTACTTGATGAATTTACTAGGCCAACAAATATGTTTAGCAACAAAGTGACAACTCTGTGTTGTAAGTGAAACATCGAAGTTGCCAGGGGAGGTAACTTATTCAACATTACAGTGAATATGTGCGCCAGTGGCTCTTCTGCTAGTTGTAGAGTGCGACAATTAAATGTGCGTCAGTTAGCTATGGTCATGGTAGCAAACGCCAGTGCCAGCAAGGAGTTGCTTAGCGAGAAATTTCGTTTAAGCAGTTGACTACTCAGGATATCGTAATATTGTACTTGTTTCCATTAAATGAAACTTTAAATTTATTTCATGATCCCTAATAATTTTCTGCTTTTTATGCCGACCTCTTTCGGTAACGGTATTAATGTTATAGAAGGAGGGAAATGTATGTCAACAAGTAACTCGATTCCATATCTATTAGGAAAGTATTGTTGAATAAGATAAGAAGAGGATGCGAAGAGGGCGTTTAGAGCAATAAGCTATATGCATATATATATATATATAGTTTTAAACAAAATTAATTCTGAGGCATTACTGGTATGGCAAAGTATAGGTGCTTGCATTAACTGGTAATTTCTTAAGCAATATTTTTCTCACGATATTTTCTATGATTTCTTATGTTAAGTTTTAAAGATTAAATCTTCAAGAAAATACTGCAAAAATTCATATTATGAAAGATATATTTCCAAGTGTTTTAATTATTCTAGTCAGGAATGATTTCGTGAAATTGTGCCGCGAAATTAGTAAAAAAAATAAAAGTATTTGACTAATTCATAACCAACACATTGATTTTCGTCAGAAACTCGTCCTTAAAGTTTGCGTTCATTTTAATCTGACCCAATGTCGCTAGACACTTATCTTTGGGATCATTCTAAGTTTATGCCAATTATCTTCCGAAAATTCAACTCGTTAAACTACCATATCACATGAAACTTTATCCCCAGACCGGCTTTTTTATTGACGAAAGTCTTCGGAAGCGGCACAAACTCAAGTTCTTATTTGTTATAAAAATTTTCAATGTTTGTTAAAAACATGTTTGTTTGATATTCGCATAAAAAATAAAACTAGCAGTTGGTCCCACCTATATAATAGCTCATCTTGCAGGATGTGAGAAACGACATATACCATTTAATAAATTTGCGATTCGGCCGACTCTCTAATGTAGGCAGACGTGAAATATAAAATTTGGCAAGTGTCGTCTTTATTAGGCAATCAGGATCTAAAAGATTATTTGCACGTGTTTAATCGACGTTTCGCCACAAAAATCCAAGGAAAACCCTGACAACGCGCACAAAAGCAACGAATGTCTTAATTCAGTTGCGACCTCCGGCGGGGGGTGTGTCTTTCTCGACGATAAAAATTAAATTGATTCACCTACAGTTGCTGGTGCATATACAACTTAATCATCAAAACCATGATATATGACAGACGTGTTAAACAGCTTATTAGTTGTGTCCAAACTATGTTTAATGCTGATGTATATATTAAAATGGTTTTTCTTTCTGCCCGTTTGTTTTATTCCAGGGCCTGGCATATTATGAACGTTTAGCTAGCATTGATAAACGTATACCTAGAGCTAACATTACCGGTCCAAAAGTCGGCTGTAATATTGCTCCAACACTATCACACTGTTATGTGGATGAAAAGATACACTTTAGTAATCTAGAATGTTACGATGCCAACACTGCTGATAACGAATCAACCACTTCCGTGGCAGCAGTTGATACTAAATATGTACCACTCGATGAGAACTATAAATCCTGCAAATCAATTTTGGGCATTGATCCGTTAAAGTCAAAGGATATGTTACATAAATCTAAACCTATAACGGTAAGGGTATCATATTGAAGTTACTATACAGTTGTGAGAATGATCTTACAACCAAATATGTCGCAAGATCATACCACACTCTATAGTAACATAAAACGGGGAAATTTTCGTTCGCGACTTATAGCATGCGTTAAAAGTACGGCGAAACGCCAAAGGGCACTTTATTAGATCAATACACATCAAAAATAGTAGTAGTTCTACTTTCCCTTGGTCCTTCGAAGTTATTAACGTTCAATCTTGCAATAGTTCTATTGCTTTAATAACAGAGTGTCGTCGTTATTGCGTTGAATTCCTCCTTTAGAAGACTGAAATGCTGTCTCGTGACTTTTCAGCACCATAAAATTGGAGCGAAGATGATGATGTGATGGGATGCCTATTTTTCTATTCTATTTTTATGGTTTAGCGCGTTCTCGTGATGCTTTTTTTTTGGATTTCGTATTGATTATTGTTGATGTTTACGCTGATTTCTGATAAGTGAATGCTGATCCTGATAAATTCAAAATTATGTTTATTAGAGAATTGTTTATCATTAATTTGATGAGTAATTTGTTTCGCCCACGAATCCTTCTGGGATGGTTTTCTTTGAAGAAAATCCATGTAAATATCATTGGTTGGATTGATTGCTACGAGGAAAATAAATTCTCTCTTTCCAGACATCTTCTATAAAAAATAAGGGGATTTCGTAGGGCGAATGAATCGTATTTAGCAAAATTTGGTGCATATCAAAAGAAGGAAAGAATTTCAGCTTTGACATGGAACGCGAAGATCAATGATTTGAAATATATTAGCAGATGGACAATTAGTATTTGAAATTTGGCAATAGTTTTGATTTGATCATAAAATTGTAGTAATAATTAGAAAATACGCGAGTTTTGCCCTTCCTAATTCCTACATTTCTAGCTGTGTACGGTCACTTTGAATTGAAAGTTTTGTTTGCGCCCTAAAAATTAATTCCGCTTCCTGTGGACGAAATTACTTGTTACAATTCCAAATAAATACTTAGTATTGGCGAGAACTCTTGGTGGCATGCTTGAAAAAGTGCAATAATAAAACGAAAATATGTGATTAATTGTGTGTATATACAAGTAATTAAGTCCCTCGACTGACACTTTGTGCTTATTTGTCGAATTTTGATAGTTATCCTCGCGTATGGCAAAGTGGAACCGAAACGTTCAATATATATTAGGAAATTTGATGAGTTATGCCAAGTGCGGAGAGAGTTGAGAGTTTCACTAGCAAAGCATTCACCATCTAATCTGAATTTTTTACATTTGTTAGGAAACTTCAGATTTTTGTCTCTGTACTACAGTTAAATGCAAAGTGGATGTAGAGGAGTTTAAATAAAAAGAATAAAGAATAAGCAAATAGCAAAAATAAAAATATAATAAAATAATACTGAAAACAAAAAAAAAAAAAAAAATAAAAATAAATAAATAAATAAATGAAAAGTTAAAAAAAATGAATAAGTCTTGACAAAGAATCTTCAATTTACAGACTTATATTAAAGCGGCACCACCTGCCCCTGGTACGATGTCAACGATGTCTAGCGGTGGCTCTGCATCTAATGCCACAACTCTCTGCCAACAACAACAGCATCGTCATTTGGATGAAAACGGTAACGCTCTAAGTGAATTTTATCAAAATGCTACTAACATTAGTAACGGAGCAACCATACACATAAATGCTGTCTCACCCCTAGGAGCTATAAATGTAAATTCGTCTTCATCGTCTGCAACTATCGCGGGATTGGCAGGTTCGTGTACTAATGTGTCTGTTTCCGCTACAGTAACTATACCGTCACAGCACACAACATCGACAACGGTCTCTACGTCGGCAACGATTACCACCCCTATGGGTTCGGCAGCTTCACAAATGAAAGCAAAAACGATGACCCGATCGCAACAGGAACGCACTAAAAATGCCAACAATAAACGTGAACGCAATACAAAGACGGTTGATTTAGAGTCTGTAGTTGGTTATCGTGGCACGGAGCCAGTCGAAGAGCTGGTTAAATATATAGAAAGTAGTGGTGAAGATAAACAGGGCGGTGGTAATTCCTCAAAGAGTAGTGATAAAAAGAAAGATCGTAAAAAGGAAAGAGATCGCGAGAAAGACAAGGATAAACAACAAAAGTTAACAAAGAGTAATTCATTGGAAGAACTGCGCAGTGGGGCTAAATTTGAGCTGCAAGAAGAATTGAAAAGAACTGCAGCCACAACTGAAAATAATGCTGGAATTATCCGTCAAAAGAATAACAGCAGCAGCAAACACAAGAATAATTCTTCTTCAACGGCTGAAATTAACAAAAATTTTGAGAATAAATCACAAAGTAATAACAATAATGCACGTAAAACGGAAAGAAGATCCTGGGGCAATGAAGATCTCAAATATCTGGAAGACCAGCAAAACGCTAATGTTGTATGCACAGCTGAGGATAAAGCCGCAGCAATCAAAGAACGTAAAGGAGCTGGAAAATCGTCAAATAACAATAAAGAAGACAGGGAGCATGTGAAAGAGAAGACGGCAGAACGCAATGAACGTAACCTTAATAATATACAGGTTAACGTGTCTATGGGCTCAGGCGAAGCAATATCAGGGATGATGGCTGCTAACAACAGGCCGGAAAGATTTGAGAGAGCTGAATTGAGAATGGAAAGAAGAATGATGGTAGATAGACCAGATAGAACTAGAAAGGAATCGCGATCGGAACCTGTAAAAATTGTTGGTATAACTGCTCTCGATTCTGTTGTCCCAGAGACCGCTGAATTTCATGTAGTTACTAAAAAGAGAAAGCCCAAAAAGAAGGTCGTAAATAATTTGGAAGAGACTACTGTGACCTTACAACGCTCGCACAATTTCGGCGCGCAAAAGTCCGGGGCATTCAATCAGCAAGCTCAACAACAACAACAACAACAACAATCAATATCACAGCGTTACAAATATCAACAACAGCAGCAACACGACAATGGTCATCAAGGATCTAATAGCAACCACACACAACAACAACAGCAATACGGTGCTATTAATAATAATAATAATAATAATCATAATAATAATAGTAATAATAATAATATAACACAACATCATGTGATAGCAACTGGCACCGTGCAACATAATAATGATAAATCTAGACGCAAATCTACTTCATCAGTGCCGCCCTCAGAAAAATCTGATACAAGTGATCTCGACTCTGTACATTCATTGCCTATAGAAAGTTCAGGTGCAGCAGTTACCAATTCCTCGACAAATGCGACTAGTGCAGCCGGTACAACAAAGGTCCAACAAGCTAAACGCAATAAGAATATAAAAGTGCTTAACTCAAGTAACAGCAGTACAACAAATGTTGTTAGTGGTGTTGTCGGTGGCAATTTATCGATAAAAACTAATTCACCAGCGCCCATTTCGTACGCAGACATTGCCCGCACTAACAAAGAAGTGACAGTGGACATGGGTCCTTATATCAATCCAACTACTTCGCTATCTTCTTCCACCTTAGTCGAAAGTAGCAATGCGGTCATAGAGAACACCAGTAATTCTAATAGCAATTCTCTAGTGGCACCGAATGAAGGAGAAAAAATTATTGTAAGTAGTGTAAATAGTGCAGTAAAACTTCATAAAGTGAAGAAATCGCAACAAAAACAGGATTTCCCGGAATTGGTGGTTAATATCCCCGCTGCTGCAGGATTGGAAGACACGCAGAAATTAAGTGTCAAATCGATAAGTTATTCGCAAAGCTTAACAACTACGGCTGCCGCGACAACTGTTAATGTTTTAAGCGGCGGTGATCTAATGCCGGCATCGACCACGGAGAATATTGTTAATACCAAAGTGAATACGTCAAGTGAATATGGAACAAGAACAGATAGTTTAGTTTTGCAGCAACAACAGCATCAACAGCAGCAACTACAACAGCAACAGCACCAACAACAACAGCAGCAGCAACAACAGCAACAGACATTACGAAAATCTAGAAGTATTGAAAGTGATTCAAATCAAACCTTAGCATCTTCCGCTTCGGTTGCAGTTAATCCTGCTCATGTAATAAACACTAATAATCCGTGTGTCTCATTTGCCGTTTCTTCTTCTCCGTCGTCGTCGACGTCGACGGCATGTTATATGGCACCTTGTAACGCGTCCAATCTAGATCAACAATATCCCGCCTTAGAGAAGACTGTTAAACGCCACAATAATACGGTGGTAGCAACTGTTCACGGCAACGCACCAATGCCTTTGGTCAATCTTAGTCTCTCCAATTCTACAAATGCAGTAAGTCTACATGCTAATCCCGCTGGAAGTACTGGTGGTGGTTCATTTAATTTTGCGGCCGCTGCCAAACAGCCTTTATCTGGGTCTGGTAATGAAGGCGGTAATACTGGCCACAGTACCAGCAGCTCTAATCAAAATACTAATAAATATTTAGTCTTAACTACCTCAATTTCAAACAACAACAACAACAACAACAATAGCAATGTAGCATTTGTTAATAGAAAATCCAAAGAAAAAACACCTCCAGCTAACAGCTTTGCTGCCTGCTCTACAGCCGCAAATAATGTACTAATTAATAATAATTTGAATGACAATGCACCCTGCGCTAGAAGATCGAAAAAAGACCGCCAACAGCAACAACAATCATCGAGTACGATACCACTAAATAGCAACAATAATACCAAAAAATTTGTCAGTAGTAATAGTACTGGTAGCATGACATCTCAGCAACCAAGATCCGCAGCAAAATCACATTTAAAATCTTCAGCGTCATTGCCGCCCATGTCTTTGACAGGCTCTATAAATATCTCTAATCGCCCGGCTGTTATTATTTTAAACGATGACCGCAATGCAAGCGGGTCTAGACTTGTTAATGACTTTACTTTTGGTGATTTTAATGAAGAAGAATTGAAAATGTTTGACGATGATCATGAGACTGGAGATCTGCCTATCCATCAGGATGATTCTGAAATCCGAAGAGGGCGGGATTACTATGAAAAAGTGACGTCTGTACCAGCTACTGCCACCAAGACTAGTAGTTATTTACTTAATGATTCAGGGGCCTCTTATTGCGCGGATATCACTCCCAATATTTCCTTTGCAGGGAGCAATCAGGTCAGTGCTATACCCACATCCGTTGCTCAACAGCAGCCGATGCCGGCACCAGCGCAATCTGTTGATAAAAGTGTTTATAATATAAGTGGTGCAACGGGAGCAAACCGAACAACTCAGCACCTGCAACAACAATCACAAATGCAATCACGTTTGTCACCGTCTAAACAGAAAAGCAACCAATTAAATAACTATATATCTAATAGTGCGTCAGTGATACACTGCAGTAGCAGCAGCAGTGAAACAAATGCACCACCTCAACACAATTCCATTGATAATTTAGAAATGCAATCCACAGTTCCTGCCCCTCAACAGCTGGAGACCTGCAATGATATTGAAACAGCAATTATAGCTGCGGCGCGTGCTGCGCAACAATTGCAATACAAAACTTCAAACTCTTCTTCAAATTCAAGTTCCTTTTCATCATCTTCATTAGCATCGGCAACATCATCGATTAATAATTATCCAGGTAATAATAATAATAATAGCACGTATGATGCACGCAACAGAATCAATAGCAACAGTCACATTGTGACTACCGCTGCAGCCGCGCACGCTAGAAGCCACCATTTCGCCCAACAACGTTCGTTGTCCGGCAACAATGTGCTGAATTATCAGGCGCAGCAACCATTATTATCACAGTACGAGGCTGAAGGTGGTGTTGTCACTGCTAACATTAATTCCTATACCGCAACTCCACGTAGTCGTAGTCCTAGTCGCACGCGACGCATTTCCATTGCTGGTACCACCGTTATCAGCAAAGAATACAGTTTATATTACATACCGCCGACATCTGGACGATTATCAACATTGGGTGCACAACATCAGAATGATATAATTGTAGATTTTATTGGATCTGGTAAGTATAAGGAAAATTTTCATTGCAAAAATTCTTTAAAGAAAATCTCTTCCAAGGAATTTATAAGAAACGGGGCGTCGTATGGGTCTCTACAGAATTTTTTTATTTTTTTTTTTGATGATTTAAGAAGATTTTCAAGTAGATTATAATTCAGGTGTTGTGGATCGTTCGGTAAAAGTTATTGACTGTCGGTCAGTATATATATATATATATATATATATTCAATATTTATTTTATTTGTTAAAGGAATTAAAGGTAAGGTAACCGTACAAGGCCAGGATTTTTAATTATAAGTTTCAAAAGATTGGTTCAAATGCAGAATGCTTAGCCGACTAATAAGAGGAGTAATCGTGTACGTGATTTTGTAATTTACTTGGGTTGTCCACAGCTAAGGCGCCGATGTATCTGATTTGCGAAATCAGAAATTTATTATTCTCATTGTTGCTATTTTCAATTGGTTTTTAGTTGTTAATTACATATTCTTCACAGTCACTCAATAAGTCTCCGCTCTAACTTGTCGTTTTCTTTTAAATTTCGTCCTCCAAAGCTACTTATAAAGCTGCGTAATATTCACTATTGATCTTTTGTCCCGTTTCAAGATAGTCAATGATTTTTATATCAAGTCCATTTTAAAATACGGACGCCAGTCGAGTTTTGCCTTTTTGGCAGACTGATTGCTAGTTTGACTTTCAAGTATAATGATGATTCCAAGTCCCGTTCGATTCAAACTTCATTTCATCCTTTTTATTCCGCCTATACGGTTTCAACACTTTCTTGTTTTCGACCAAAAGTAAGGAAAAGCGTCACCCATTCGGAACAAACCTTTCTCATACAAAATGACAGATGAGCTGGCTTTTGTGATATCCTTAGAGGCGTCAGATATATCACTTAACCTCACTTTTCGGTCTTCGATTTAAGATTTTGTGCAGGTTCAAATCTCAGGGGCAGTAGAGTTTATTTTGGCCATAGCTAGAGTGAATGTTTTACCGCACAACAGTTACTGCGGCCACCATCCCGCTATCTCTATTTCTTCAGTCACTTCTTTCTGACTGCCACGGTATCGCACGAATGACAGGGATGTCCTCTGTGTGATTGGATATAAAATTAAAAAAAGGAAAATCTTCCAATATTAGGATAAAAGGAGAATAACGAAGAGCTTTTAATAACACCATTATCGCCAAAGAAATCACATGCATGGTTGCTATTCGCGTTTTATTAAGAGCAAGGAAATAAATTTTTGCCGATAGACTTGAGATAGACGCACCTTTCATTATACTGATCGATTCCATATCACTTCCTGATTTGATTTAAAGGTGTTTGTCCATTTAGTTTTCTTTTACTCTAGCTACCGGCCACGGGTATAGTGACAGATGGACTACCATATAGCTGGGTACGTAAAAGTCAGTACTACCAACTCGGTGCTTGCAAGCTTTCAAATGTCAGCGCAGTTTGACTATGTCATGGTCGTCGTTATAGTGACTACTTCCTATATCTTTGCCTGTTTCTCCTCTGCCTGCCTCTTCGTATTACAATTATAGGTGATGTTCCCTGAATGATTGATCATATTAAAAAAACAATGAAGGGCTTCAGACAGGCGGAATCATTTTCTGCATCGATCTAGTCTTGTCTGTCCACGTGTTTTCATGTTCACGTTGCTAAAGATCGCAATTTTTAAAAAAAATATCTTGATGAAATTTGGTATATTGACATGTTCCGGCCTAAGGAATGCTATTGTAAATTGTTTGGATCGGATCAATTTTTCGGTCAAATACCATATCACGCCGTATTTTGAAAAGTCTTTGGATGAACAATTTTGAAGCGGTGTTAGGATACTTAACGGTAGGCTATAGTCCATTTTTCTATTTTTTGGAATTTGTAAACAAAACAATTCTCTTCAAAATTATTGGTGTTTTCTTCTTCAATTGTAGGTCGTTTTTGTTTCATTCCGTTATTCAATGGAATGGACGTTATCCGGTTCTATATTTTTTGTTTTTACCTCTTTTTTGAGGGTGAAAAAATTCACCAAAATTGTTCACTTGCTATTAAATAAAGAATGTAATGAAATTTCAATATAAAAAATTATATATATATGTAGATATGTTGGATCCGGTTTACACTAATAAAAGATCTTCATACTGATAAAATTTCATATCTTCGCCGACAAAAACAAGTAGGGAATCATATTCCGTTCTCTTATCTTCTATACCCATCATGGTTATATCATTCTCCAGGATCATCCATAGAATCTACGGGGAATTTCTTATGGTTGTATACGTTTTAAATAATAAGTAGAGAGCAAAAAAGATCTTTCAGGCCGCAGTACATCTTGCCAAGTCAAATAAACCAATTTTTTTTTTGCTTTTAAAAAGAAATATAGTCATTGTAATATATGCGTGTCCTTCCACCGATTCAGCCCATTCTCAATAACAATGTTTTTGTCAAAATTGAACTTGTGATATTTTAATCTTTGTGAGCGGTCAAGTGTGTACTATATGCACCGCATGAAAGCACATGCGGAGCAACAGACATGCCTAGAGATGGATCGAGAGGGGGCATCCCTCCTCCTATCCGTCTGGGTGGGTGTTGCTGCAAACGAAATGCCGCGAATTTATATTTTGGGTAAAAAAATATTGGGACACCAGCGGGGCACGCAGAAGTTAATCGTATCTAAAATTGTGGATCTGGTGCGTGAAATTATGCAGTTTTTTTTTTTTTTTTTTATTATTAGAGGCTGCAAGGAACATTAAAAACTTTTTTCTTCTATCCTAAATTGAAATTTGTATACAAAAATATTACTAACCAAATTTTATTTATTTTTCTGCTTTTTTTGTTTTTCTTTCAATTTCTTTCTGTCTAGCTTGGGAGGAAATAGTAAATAGTAAAGTAACAAAGATCTACGATGGACAATAAATAATAAAAAATTAAAAAAAATAAAAATAAAAAAATTCAAGATGTAATAATAAAAATATAACAAAAGCTGCAGCAGCATAACTAGAGTATTGTACTTCATATCCCTCCTTTTCATCCTTTCACAAGTGCTATGGACTAAAAAAAGAAAACGAAAAAAACAAAAAGCAAAAATATATATATATATATATACGTATATTTTAATTTAACAGCGATAACAGGAAATATATAAAAAAACAATTGTTTTTTTTTTTTTTTTTTTTTTTTTTTTTTCTTATCAATTTTATAATTAAGAGAGCAGCCAAACAACTGCTGCACACACACATCCATAATTATTACATTAATAAAAATTTCAATATATTGCAAAACTCGCAATTATATTTAATGGAAAACGAGAGAAACAAAAATTACAAAAAAAGAAAGAAAACAAAAAAAAAAAAAAAACAAAAAAAAAATAGAAATCAAATTCTTATTATTATTATCATATACAGCATGATGTAAAAGAAGAGGAAATGATCAAATATAAAATGTCTTGTAATGAAATTGAAAGCAACCACAACCATGTTTGTATAACTTAGTCTTTAAATAAATTAAATAATCATTAATTAATATTAAATTTAAATTAAATTAAAAAATATCACAAAAAATGTATAATGTATGCATATATATATATGCATATTCATATATATACTTACATATAAATGCACATATATACATAATATATGTATTTATGTATGTATATATTTATGTTTGTATGTATGCATGTATATATATATTTATATATGTATGTATATATTTATACATGAAAGAATGAAAGAAGCCGCAAACAGCTGTAATAATTAAACTAAGTCGGAACTTTATTGCAAACGAAACGAGTGGCAGATAGAAGTTAGATATAACAAAAAAGAAAAAGAAAAAGAAAAACTGTTTCTTTTATTTTTTTTTTTTTCATTTTATCATTAGACGGTTCTCATACTCTATAATTTTGTTTTTCATTAAACTTTCGAAATAAAGGAAAAAGCAAAACTTTACTTAAACGTTATGAAACATATTATGGAGAAGAGCAACAGATTTATACAAAGTGATATGAAAAGCATAAAAAAAAAAATACAAAATAAAGGAGGAAAAGCATTAAAATTGGCATACTTAAGGGAATCAACAGTAAAATTGAAACGTGTTTTCAAAATTATTATTGAAAATTTATTTTTTATAAAAATAATGTCGTAGAAAAACGAAAAAGGAAACTTGTAATAGACAATTTCTTGCTTGATTCGAACTTTTTCTTTTATATGTTCTCTCTCTCTCTCTCTGTCTCTCTCTATCTCTATACTTATTTTAATCCTACTTTGCAAACTATAATCAAACTATGAGACAATTTGTTAAGTAAAAGCCATTTTACGGCAATTTTATTTTAAAAAAAAATCGATGATAATATTAATAAATTTTATCTATTATTTTTAATTTTGTTGCTCTTTTTTTAATTGATTGAACAAGACCTCAAGCTAAGAAAGAAAATTCCATTATTAACTTTTTTTTTATTTTTTTTTATTTAACAATTTTAATTTAAGAACTTAAGATTATTATTCTTACTTTTTATTAGAAAATTCGATAAATAACAAAAAGTCTGAACAATTGAATAAGCCCTCCTTAGACGAATATGAAAAACAAATCGACCTTTAAGCAAACATAAATCGCTTTGGAAAGTAAAATTAATTCAAAATGCACATCGATTCTAAAGAATCCAAATAATTGTAAAAAAAATGCGTTTTTGAAATCTGATCCATAACGCTTGGAAGTCATCTTGCCGCTAATTTGGCCATTTCCTTTATTAATTCACAGCTACCGGCCATGACAGCGCTTCATATATGTATATATATATAAAAGGTTTTTCTTAATGCACTTTCCCACAAGCGCTGAGACACTTCGCTCTGAATTTTCATATACGAAACCAATTTCATTTATATTAAAAATTTATTTTATTAATTTTTGTCGCTTTGTACTTGTTACTTATAAAGGTGGAAAATATTTCTACATACCGTGTACAGTACAGTACAGTACATACGCTAACAACGAATTTAATAATTTATAATGAAAGATTTTTTATTTTTCCGTTTATTTTGTTAAGCCGCGTGCACCGCTATCGGTGCACAGTGTTATAAACATCACACAATCGTTTGAACTAATGATAACAATAACAATAATTTATAGATTTCAATTTGATCGTGGGATGTGGAGATGCATTTTAGCGTGGTACTGAAAACAGTACACCAGACACGGCATATTTCCTGCTGATTTTCATTTTTCCTAACTTTATTCTTTTAATAATCGTAAAAAGCCATTTGCTTGAAAACAAATTTTACTTTGTTTTCAGTTTTAAAATATCAAAAGTACCCAGTATCTGAAATTCGCCTCTGTTTATTGGCCTCTGTGGCCTACGATTCTTATAAGTTTTGCAATAGGACTTTTGCCTGTTATCGGAGTGCTCAACAAGTAGAGCTTATTCGTTTTCTTCTTTTTGTTTCATGCTTACATCTCGTAACGCTTCCTGGCGATGGAATTTTCATTCGAAGAATAACTTGACCATACTAGCTATCGATTTGAAATTTATTATTAGGCATCAAAAAAGTAAAAGAGGTAAAAAAAAAAAAAATACGAAGATTTTCATATAATTACTTGAAATTGTTGATTTTTTTTTTTTTTTTTTTTTTTTTTTAATAATAACTTTTAAGCCGAGTGTATGTCTTTCTTAGTTTGGGGATCTGGCAATCATTCATAAAAAAGAAACCGCTGGATTAAACGATGGTTCATTTAATAGTTAAGACCATCTATTAATTCTACGTTAAAATAACTCGTGAAGATTTTGTTTTTTTTTTTTTTTATATTAATCATTTTAATCATAAATTTTATTATATACAAATATAATATACTCAGTAGCTAAGTAACGAACGTCTTCTTGTTTGTTTTTTTTAATTTTTCCTTTTTGTTAAATGTGATAACAATTTATTATAAGAAAAATAAGAAAAAAAAAAAAAAGAAAATGAAATGAAAATGTAATGCGTGCGCTTGCTGTGTACATACATGTAATAATAAGAATGTATTGTTATGTTATCTTAGGGTGCTGGGAACAAAAGAGAAGAAGATTTCGTAGCAAACGGCCATAAATTACTAGAGGAACTTTTTTATTTTATTTTAATTTTTTTTTTTTTTTTTTTTTTTTTTTTTTTTTTTTTT